TTCTCTTTACTTTATACATGCTCCCAATTGGTAGAGTTATTAGACAGCATGGGATTAATTTCCACTGTTATGCTGATGATACCCAGCTATATCTGTCTATAAATCCAGATGAAGCTAACCCATTACATAGATTACAGGCATGTCTGAAGACATAAAAACCTGGATGACTCTTAACTTTCTGCTTCTGAATGCAGACAAAACAGAAGTTAAAGTCTTTGGACCAGAGTCTCTGAAAAAGAAGCTGATTAGTCAGTCGCTTCATTTGGATGGGATTAAACTGATTTCAGATAATAAAGTAAAAAATCTTGGTGTTATTTTTGATCAGGACCTGTCATTTAAATCCCAGATCAAAGAGGTTTCTAGAATTTCCTTCTTTCATCTGAGGAACATTGCAAAAATGAGCAATCTCCTGTCCAGGGGTGATGCTGAGAAACTAGTCCATGCATTTGTTACTTCAAGGCTGGACTATTGTAATTCTTTACTATCAGGAAGTCCAGTGAGTTTTGATAGCGAGAAGAGAATAAATGAAATACAGCAGAGGGTTGGAGTTCAGGATGTTTATTACAGTGAATGACTGTACAGCACACATACACACACACACACACACACACACACATCTTTACACATTCTCTGTCTCATCTTCCGCAACAATAAACACACTGTATAACCCAACAAGGCAAGAAAACACAATGACTACATCTGAGGTTGCATTAACAAACACAGTGATCTGAGGAGTCTTCGCCGGCGGCCATCTTGTCGCAGATTAATGCCCTCATCACCGTGAAGGACCACGGCGGTTCTGTGTTTTTTCTCAGAGGGGGAATGAGGCAGTAACACAGTCTGGACTCTGAGCTGTTTTTTTTTAAAGGAGTAATCTGCTTATTTTCTGTTCAACCACTGAGTCATTGATCACCTGGAGAGCTCGCCTCCACAGTTATACAGGGATGGGAAATATCAATAATATGCTGTTTGTTCCTAAAGTACAAGAAGTAGTTCTGTGCATAAAAAAAAAAAATAATTGTTTGAAGAAGATGTGATAAACTCTGCTGCACCTTAAGGCTGCTGCTCTGCTCTCTGAATCCAAACCAGCATCTCTCAGCAGCTGGACAGAGAGACGTCTGTAATGTCCAATAAAGGATTAGCCTGACCTGACAAATCATTCAGAGTCATGGCCATTTGAGGAACTCTGTGATGCGGCCGAGCTTCAGCCGACTGCAGCTTCTCTGACCAGAGACACAAGAAACGATTCCAGAGTTTAAAACGAAAGAAAAGGTCAAATAGAGACAGTTATTTCTTTAGGCTGAATAAATTAGTGATTTCTCTAGATATCCAAGTTCTCAGATTCACTCCTCTTTGTTAAAGGAAGCATAAACTATCGTGATAAATGTTTGGAGTTCAGGTTCACAATCAGACATTAAATTATGACTTTAGATTGGCCACATCTGACTTCCTGACTATTAATTGGAATGAAAGAAATGTCATTGTCTCCTTCCTATCTCCTCTTTCTTTCATCTTTTGTCCTTTTTTTTTCTTTTTCTTTTTCCTTCTTCTTCTTCTGTTTTTCTGCTCTACTTACATTGCAGTGTCCATATGAACTGTAAAACTCCCTGCATAATTATAATAAAGCAATTTATATACATGAAACAAGTGGAGCAGTATGGCAATTGCGATACCGCTACACTTGTGAAAGTAAAATCTGTTGGGCTCCTTTTGGCATCAAGACAATTATTTTTATTGCCACCTTGCCAGACAGGACACTGTAAAAAAAAAAAAAAAAAAAAAAAGGGATGAAAGAAAGTCCATAAAAACATTCAAAGGACTCCTAAACAAAAACTATTCACAAAAGAACACAGAAAGATAGATATTACAAAAATTTCATGAACTTCAGATAAAAAGGAGAGAATGACGAATCGCACAAAATCATATAAGTAAGTGAGGACCAGAGAAGAACGTAATCTAAGATGTTTAGGATATAAAAACAAAGAAATAAACCGTCTGAAAAATGTATCAAGCTAAATGAGCTAAAACGATCTGGCATTAGTTCATGAAAATGTGATTTTTATGAATTTATGAACAACAATCTGCTGCAGGAACACTCGGTTAAATAGATATATATTAATATAATATGTTTATTATATAGGAGAACAGTGAATAGATAGGCCATCACATTATTCTGTTAATCCATAAATATGGATGAGATTAACGGCGATGATGACATTCAAAGTTAAAATGAGACGGTTGATGCCGGACCTTTATTCAAACCAGCTGCTCTGGATAACTTTCCCTCTCAAGGAAATTATAAACTGAAATATTATAAACTTAGTAAATTCTATATATTTGTGATATTCATGTAAAAGTAGAACTTATTCAATGTTTTGACCAAACACAGACATCTGGAACTAGAGTGCACATTCTGGACTCTGTAGTTCTACCAAAATCCTTAAATCAGTAACTTAAGAGGATGAATCCTAAATGGAAAGTTTCTCTGGAAACTATTTCATCAAACTAGAGCATAAAATATTTAAACCAGAAATCAAACACCAGCTTATATTTTGCTCATGTTATACTAGAAATTTAATGCTGGACTGGACGATTAATGCTAATGCACGAGCTCCGAGCCAGCTCCCATGTCAGAGGATGAAGAGAGCACATCCAGTGAGTCACAGTCAGAGAAACAGGACTACACTGGAAAACAGGCCAAGCTCCAACATCTAGAAACAAAGGTGTTGATGGCAGCAGCACAGCTGATATTTCTCTCCAGGATGGAGTCACAGCCAAACAGGAACAGACCAGATGAAGCTACTATGAGAAAAAGCAGAGAGAGCAGAACGTTAGAGATTGAACTAACAGATTCTGCAGAGTGGGAGAATAGAGATAGAATGAAGCAGAATGATGAAAAAGGGGTCCCTATGTCCTCCAGCAGTCTAAGCCTATAGCAGCATAACTATAGAGATAGCTCAGGATAACCTGAGCCACTCTAACTAGAAGCTTTATCAAAAAGGAAAGTTTTAAGCCTAGCCTTAAAAGTAGACAGGGTGTCTGCCTCACGGACTAAAACTGGTAGTTGGTTCCACAGGAGAGGAGCCTGATAACTAAAAGATCTGCCTCCCATTCTACTTTTAGAAATTCTAGGAACCACTAGTAAACCTGCAGATTGAGAGCGAAGTGCTCTGTTAGGAACATAAGGAACAATCAGATCTCTGATATCAGATCAGTTTGAGAGAAACTGTTCCGCCTGTGAGAATCTCTTCCTCTGCTTCTTAAGTAGTTATTAGAATCCCGTGTGATGAAAACAGGCAGGAATGTTGGGAAGACCGAATCTGTTCTCCTTTGCAAGGATGAATTAATTCTACTTGAATGAAGAAACTGTTCGGTTTCTGTTTTCTGTCAGGTTTTTCTTTTGAATATCCAGTTTTGCCTTTCTCCTTGTTTCCTAGTTTTTATGGTTTAATTCTTACTTTATTGTGTTCTTTGTTTTTTTCTCAGTTACCTTATCAGTCTGGGTTCTGTTATATTTTCTTTTTAGTGTTCAGCTTTGTTTTACTCCTTGTTTTCTAGTGTTAGTGGTTTTATTTTTATTTTTGCTGTTTTCTCTAGTTTATTCTTAGTTACTGTTTCAGTCTGGTTCTGTTATGTTTTCTTTTGAGTGTTTAGCTTTTACTTTTCTCCTTGTCTTAGTGATTTAATTATTATTTTGTTGTATTTTCTAGTTATTTTCTGTCTTTTTTTTATTTGTTGCACTCTGCTGCCCTCTTGTGTTCTCCTTTCTCTCTAACTCCTGTTTTTGTTTCTGCTCTGTCCTCACCTGTTCCAAATCTTCTCATTAGCCCTCTCTTTGTCTCAGTCTACTTTAAAAGCCCTCTCTTTGTCCCAGTCTACTTTAAAAGCCCTCTCTTTGTCTCAGTCTCCTTTAAAAGCCCTCTCTATGTCTCAGTCTCCTTTAAAAGCCCTCTCTTTGTCTCAGTCTCCTTTAAAAGCCCTCTCTATGTCTCAGTCTCCTTTATAAGCCCTCTCTTTGTCTCAGTCTCCTTTATAAGCCCTCTCTTTGTCTCAGTCTCCTTTATAAGCCCTCTCTTTGTCTCAGTCTCCTTTATAAGCCCTCTCTTTGTCTCAGTCTCCTTTAAAAGCCCTCTCTATGTCTCAGTCTCCTTTAAAAGCCCTCTCTTTGTCTCAGTCTCCTTTAAAAGCCCTCTCTATGTCTCAGTCTCCTTTAAAAGCCCTCTCTTTGTCTCAGTCTCCTTTATAAGCCCTCTCTTTGTCTCAGTCTCCTTTATAAGCCCTCTCTTTGTCTCAGTCTCCTTTAAAAGCCCTCTCTTTGTCCCAGTCTACTTTAAAAGCCCTCTCTTTGTCTCAGTCTCCTTTATAAGCCCTCTCTTTGTCTCAGTCTCCTTTAAAAGCCCTCTCTTTGTCTCAGTCTCCTTTAAAAGCCCTCTCTTTGTCTCAGTCTCCTTTAAAAGCCCTCTCTTTGTCCCAGTCTACTTTAAAAGCCCTCTCTTTGTCTCAGTCTACTTTAAAAGCCCTCTCTTTGTCCCAGTCTACTTTAAAAGCCCTCTCTTTGTCTCAGTCTCCTTTATAAGCCCTCTCTTTGTCTCAGTCTCCTTTAAAAGCCCTCTCTTTGTCTCAGTCTCCTTTAAAAGCCCTCTCTTTGTCTCAGTCTCCTTTAAAAGCCCTCTCTTTGTCCCAGTCTACTTTAAAAGCCCTCTCTTTGTCTCAGTCTACTTTAAAAGCCCTCTCTTTGTCCCAGTCTACTTTAAAAGCCCTCTCTTTGTCTCAGTCTCCTTTAAAAGCCCTCTCTTTGTCTCAGTCTCCTTTAAAAGCCCTCTCTTTTCAGTTCCTCTTTGCTGGGTCCTCGTCTAACTCCGTCATACTTCCTCCAACTCGTCTCTCTGAGCTTCCTCCATGTGATTTTGATTCCCCTGATGTCTCCGTGGTCTTTTGGTACGTTTAGACTTGTGTTTTTCATATTTTTTATCTTTGGACTTTGGATTCCTGGTTTCATGTTTATTTGGAGTTTGGTTTTCACTTTGGATTTTTGGATAACCTGCCTCTATTTTCAGTTGGTTTTTTTTTATTCATCATTAAATCAACTTGAGAAATTCACCTCTGCCTTCCTGCCTCTGCTTTGGGTCAACTATCCACTAACGAATTCTGACAGAAACACTGGATCGCAATATCTTTTTTTTTTCAACAACAGCAGTTTCCCCATTTTTATTTCCCTGAATTTCAACTCTAGAGTGAGACAATAGAAAGGAAGTGATTGGCCACAGACTCGTGATGCCTTCCCTTGATGCAAGAAGGAGCTCTGATCACAGATCAAACTCTGGTTAACCTGCAGCTGAAATTATCCTTTTTAATATCTATATTCTAGAAACATTGCCCAGTGACCGTGTCTAGAACTACAACAACCAGAAAGACTCCATGTAATGAGCCAGATGTTAAACATCTGCTGCTTTCTGCTCATTTTAAACCAACAGGTGAAGTTTTAGTAAAAACTGAAACATGAAACACAGCAGCCAAGCTGAACATGCAGGGAGCAGAAAGAACCAGGCCAATAAAACACATCCTGAACCAGAACCACTGAAGAACCAAGGTTCCTGCCCAGTATGGAACCAGAACCATTGGAGAACCAAGGTTCCTGCCCAGTATGGAACCAGAACCATTGGAGAACCAAAGTTCCTGCGTCGTACGGAACCAGAACCACTGGAGAACCAAGGTTCCTGCCCAGTATGGAACCAGAACCACTGGAGAACCAAGGTTCCTGCCCAGTATGGAATCAGAACCACTGGAGAACCAAGGTTCCTGCCCAGTATGGAACCAGAACCACTGGAGAACCAAGGTTCCTGCCCAGTATGGAACCAGAACCACTGGAGAACCAAGGTTCCTGCCCAGTATGGAACCAGAACCACTGGAGAACCAAGGTTCCTGCGCCGTATGGAACCGGAACCCTGGAAGTAGGATGGAGGACGGAGCTGCAGAGTAAATCAAACAAATCCAAGATGTTTGAACGTTTACTGACATCAGCATATTAACAACGACTTTTTTCATTTGATGGCCACCGGTTCAAACCAGTTAGCTGACTGGTGGAGAACTGGAAGCTGGAGCAGAGAGCAGAGCAGCCGCTGTGATGAGTGCAGGGTTCTGATCATCTACACACCTGTTCATGTCACCTGCATCATGGAACCTCCACAGCACCTTAGAAAGGTCCTAGCTGCTAAAACCACCATGATCTGATGAAAGGATTGATCCACACTCACTGTAAACAAATAATCTGGGGGCCCCTGGGGGCCCCTGGGGCCACCAAGTCAGCTGCAGCGTTTTGACAAAGAAGAGTCTAAACCCTAGAAGTTACTGCACGGAGCTGCCTGTTGCCATGGTGATCAGATAAACGGAGGATTTAGTGGTTGTCAGGCGTTTTCAGGCACTTCGTCATCCTTCTCTTCATCATCCGCTCCTGCAACAGTCAACAGAGCAGCAGGTGAGTTGCTAAGGAGACGGGAAGCATCAGGGGGAAGTCGTCCTCGTACCGTTCCAGGTCAGGTGATCAGCTGCCGTCAGCTCACAGGATTTCTCATCTTCACTTCCAGTCGATGGTCGATGGTCTGAGTTCTGTGACGGATCCGGGTTCTGTCCCTCTGTGGCGCCCGGTGATGCCTGAGACCCGCCATCTTCTTCTTCTCTTGCCTCGGTCTCTTCCTTCTCCTTCTTGGCCAGCTCTGTGCCCAGAGGACAGAAAAAGAAGATTCAGTTTCAGGTAGAGATGTCCCGATCCAGGTTTTTGCACTTCCGATCCGATACCGATATTGTTTTTGGACTTCCGATCCGATACCGATACTGGCCGATACCAGCCTATCCGAGCATGTATTTAAGTTTAAGTTAAAGTATTTAGCCTTAGTTGTAAGACTCATGTTGAAAAGGGTTTTAGTACTCTTGATAACATCTAGCCAGCTGAATTAGGTGAGATTGAATAAAACACAATGCTTGGTAACAACAAACTTACCTGTTTATTAAGAGATAAACACAAACTGGACAAAATTACGAATAGCAATCTGAAATTGCACAGTGAGCAGTAAAACTGTAAACAGTTAAAGGTGCAAGTATTACTGTAAGTTTTAATAAAAATGCAAAACAGGGGAACACTGGTGCAAAATAGTGGAATGGATCGTTTCAATCGGCGAAACTGGAAAATACGGACCGGATTTTTTTTTTTTAAACTGGATCGGCAGTCTGGATCGGCATTTTACATGCTTTGCCGATACGCATTTTTTGCCAATATCGGCGTCCCGATCCGATACGTGGATCGGATCGGGACAAGCCTAGTTTCAGGATCCAGCTGGACTCCATCACAATCAGGCTTTTAATGGGGGGGAAGGCGCCACCCACTGGTCACCTGTAATATCTGCATCTTGGAAACATCACCTAGATTTACTCTGGAACTCACTGGCTAAGAAGAAGATATATTAACATCTGAAAAAAACTGCTTTTCACCTTTTTGGATAACAAGTTTACTGATCTGATATTTTCACCACAAAAGGAGCATTTATTTTTAATTCCACTTAAAGTAATATTTTCATGAAGACTCACTACTTCAACCAATGAAAACCTAAGAAGCGTTAAACAAACTTCATCCAGACGGTTCAGGTTTATGTTCGAACCAGAATCACTTTTAACTGATCGAACTGCAACCTGCTGAGGCTGATGTTCACATCCAGCTCTGAAATATTAGCTGCTAGAAGTTTGCTATTGTTCATTTCTTTTATTGGATTTAGTTTTTTCTAAGAATTAACATGATTTTAAATGTATGTTCTCAGTAGCTTCTTAATTAAAAACATCCTGATTAAGAACTGGAGGTTTTTGGGTTTTCTGTTGTTCGACCATCAGAAGGTAAATAATTCCATAAACAGACAATATTGGTCAATTGGTCTCTTTTTATACGTCGATGCTTTTTGAACATCCCTTCAGTTACTGATTTAAACATTATTAGTTTGTTTTTTTCCTATCAATATTTGATCTTTTACTTTCATGTGTTTCTTTTATAATTTCATATGAAATACTTTGAAGTCCATGGCTGTGACATAAAAAAGCCAAAGAGGATGAAAACGTTGCCAAGTTGCTGCCTCTAAAAGCAACAGAGCAACTCTTCTCTTTCCACCACAGCTGCTCTGCAAACTAAAATAAATCAACATTTCTGTGTATTAACCCTGAATTTGAGCAGTAAAAGAAAACTATTTTCTTTTATTTGAACTCAAAATGTGTACGGCACTATTTTTATTTTAGAGGCGTTAAAGAAATTAGTAGCAGTTAGTGGGAGGAGCCAGAGGTTCTTCACAGAGCGGTTAACCGTCCAACCAGAGAGAACCTGTTTCTGTTCCTGCAGTCATTTAGAACTGAATCCAATCAGTTTGTTTTCAACCTCAGATCCTCATCAAACACGCGTTCGCATCACTTTCTCTGCCTGAACTATCATCCTGCTTTAAACCTGGAATCCCTCGGTGTTTGGTGTCGGCGTACCGTGAACTGACAGCTCCTTCCAGCGGTCCTTGTTGCTGGTGATGACACCGGAGAGGTGCTGCCTCAGAGCTGGCAGGTCGATCGCCGTCAATGAAAAATTAATCTGTCCATCCTCACTGTTTCCATGGCGATTGCTGCTGTGTCTCTGTACGGACTCCACAGTGACTGAGCCACTTCCTGTCAGGCTGGATGAAAGCAGAGCCTCAGTGAGGTTTGATGGAAGGAGCCCAGAGAAAATCTACGCATGATAAGAACAAAACGCTGCAAAGGGATCAACGACTAAAGGGTCACTGAGAACGAGGCCTTGAAGTGAAACCAGTGAGTGGGAATCATTATGGCGGCTGCTAACAGTCTGGAAGGGGGCGGGTACGTGTGATTACACACATGTCTGGTGCAAAGACAAACAAAGTGATTCCCACCGACTCCCTTTGTTTAACTGAGCAAATCATTTTTTCCTTTACGGACCAACATGAGCAGCGAAAACAAGAAAAGACCAAGTTACTAAAACGGGAAACAGTTTGATTCTTTTTGTGTTGGCAGCTTGAAAGACCCTCTGAGGCTTCCTTACTTCCTCTGTTTCCCTTTCCAGGACTTCATTAGAAATCAGAACATGCCTCTGAACCATTTTAGAAATATCTGCAGTTTCATGCTGAGATATTAGACCCTTCATTTTCCCGTTCCCTTATCTGCTACCTGGACCTTCTGGCTCCGGTCTCTCTGGCCTTCCTGTCCTCTTCTATCAGAGGTCCAATCACCTTCTCTGTTGTTTCGATGAGGACGGTGAACGTCGGCTCTACGATGAAGTCAATGAAACCTGTGAGTGAAGGGTTAAAGACGGAGAGGTGAGGGACGCTGAGATCCTGCAGAACCAGGAGCTCAGATCAGTGTTTACGCACCAATCTGTGACTGGGCGATCATGGTGGCTTTACGGTCGCAGAGGGGAGAGAAAGGAAGGCCGAGTTCCACCTCTTTATCTCCCTAGAAGAAGAACAGAGCGATGGTGGATCTTTGACGCTTTCTGTGGTAGAAATTAAACCTCAGTTCTCTGGTTTAATTTGCAGCTTCAGCCACTTTGTTCACTTTAGAAGAAAAGACATGTTTCTTTCTGGCCCCTGGGGGCCAAATATGTTCATAATGGTCTGGATTTGGCCGTCAGGCCTTGATTGGGACACATGGGTGGTAGATCTAGAAAACATCTAAGCTGAGGGTCTAGAGTTCATGTCTTTGCAGAGTGAGGACGCATTCTGAAGCGCCGGGACGTCTGAGGACAACGGGGCGAATCATCCGGTTAGGATTCACATCTGGATGGGAGAGACTAGTTAACATCTGCTCCAAGTCATGGGATTAAAATCCAACTATCTACCAAAATTATTCCACTTATCTTTTATTTCTAACGGTCTTTGAATCTCTGAGCAAAGTGACTCAGTGGTTCCAGGAGACGGATCTTAGTTTTTCTGGGGGATGCAGAGGTTTAGATGTGTACCTGTCTGAAGAACTCCTCCATCAGGCTGTGAGTCCAGTGGTAGTGCAGCGGCCAGGCTTTGGCAGGATGACTGATGTCTGCTGCGTGGAGCATCAGAGATAAAACCTTCACTTTGTCTATCCTGGAGAAAGACGAAGACACAGAATCAGGATCCGCCCAGCAGGAGCAGCTTAAAGCAGCAGCGTTCGCTCTGAGCAGAGACCAGCAGGATCGGCGCTGACAGCCGCCTGCCTCATCACCTCCTGCAGCACCGACAGGCAGCCAGGCTGAGGCTGGAATGTGAACAGAACCCCTACAGGCACGTGTGGGCCAGCATGGTCCCGGTCCAGTAGCCTGGTCATGGTCCAGCATCCTGGTCTGGGTCCAGTAGCCTGGTCCTGGTCCAGCATCCTGGTCCGGGTACAGTAGCCTGGTCATGGTCCAGCATCCTGGTCCCGGTCCAGTAGCCTGGTCATGGTCCAGCATCCTGGTCCCGGTCCAGTAGCCTGGTCATGGTCCAGCATCCTGGTCCCAGTCCAGCATCCTGGTCCCAGTCCAGCATCCTGGTCCCGGTCCAGTAGCCTGGTCATGGTCCAGCATCCTGGTCCCGGTCCAGTAGCCTGGTCATGGTCCAGCATCCTGGTCCCAGTCCAGCATCCTGGTCCCGGTCCAGTAGCCTGGTCATGGTCCAGCATCCTGGTCCCAGTCCAGCATCCTGGTCCCAGTCCAGCATCCTGGTCCCGGTCCAGTAGCCTGGTCATGGTCCAGCATCCTGGTCCCGGTCCAGCAGTCTGGTCATGGTCCAGCATCCTGGTCCCGGTCCAGTAGCCTGGTCATGGTCCAGCATCCTGGTCCCGGTCCAGCAGTCTGGTCATGGTCCAGCATCCTGGTCCGGGTCCAGTAGCCTGGTCCTGGTCCAGCATCCTGGTCCCAGTCCAGCATCCTGGTCTTGGTCCAGTAGCCTGGTCCTGGTCCAGCATCCTGGTCCGGGTCCAGTAGCCTGGTCATGGTCCAGCATCCTGGTCCCGGTCCAGTAGCCTGGTCATGGTCCAGCATCCTGGTCCCGGTCCAGTAGCCTGGTCATGGTCCAGCATCCTGGTCCCGGTCCAGTAGCCTGGTCATGGTCCAGCATCCTGGTCCCGGTCCAGCAGTCTGGTCATGGTCCAGCATCCTGGTCCCGGTCCAGTAGCCTGGTCATGGTCCAGCATCCTGGTCCCGGTCCAGCAGTCTGGTCATGGTCCAGCATCCTGGTCCGGGTCCAGTAGCCTGGTCATGGTCCAGCATCCTGGTCCGGGTCCAGTAGCCTGGTCATGGTCCAGCATCCTGGTCCGGGTCCAGTAGCCTGGTCATGGTCCAGCATCCTGGTCCCAGTCCAGCATCCTGGTCTTGGTCCAGTAGCCTGGTCATGGTCCAGCATCCTGGTTCCGGTCCAGCATCCTGGTCCCGGTCCAGCATCCTGGTCCCGGTCCAGTTGCCTGGTCCCGGTCTAGCATCCTGGTTCCGGTCCAGCAGTCTGGTCCCGGTCCAGTAGCCTTGTCCCGGTCCAGCATCCTGGTTCCGGTCCAGCATCCTGGTTCCGGTCCAGCATCCTGGTCCCGGTCCAGTAGCCTTGTCCCGGTCCAGCATCCTGGTCCCGGTCCAGTAGCCTTGTCCCGGTCCAGCATCCTGGTCCCGGTCCAGTAGCCTGGTCCCGGTCCAGCATCCTGGTTCCGGTCCAGCATCCTGGTCCCGGTCCAGCATCCTGGTCCCGGTCCAGCATCCTGGTTCCGGTCCAGCAGTCTGGTCCCGGTCCAGTAGCCTTGTCCCGGTCCAGCATCCTGGTCCCGGTCCAGTAGCCTTGTCCCGGTCCAGCATCCTGGTCCCGGTCCAGCATCCTGGTCCCGGTCCAGCATCCTGGTTCCGGTCCAGCATCCTGGTCCCGGTCCAGTTGCCTGGTCCCGGTCCAGCATCCTGGTTCCGGTCCAGCAGTCTGGTCCCGGTCCAGTAGCCTTGTCCCGGTCCAGCATCCTGGTCCCGGTCCAGTAGCCTGGTCCCGGTCCAGCATCCTGGTCCCGGTCCAGTAGCCTGGTCCCTGTCCAGCATCCTGGTTCCGGTCCAGCATCCTGGTCCCGGTCCAGCATCCTGGTTCCGGTCCAGCATCCTGGTCCCGGTCCAGCATCCTGGTCCCGGTCCAGCATCCTGGTCTCAGTCCAGCGGTCTGGTTCCTGTCCAGCATCCTGGTTCCGGTCCAGTAGCCTTGTCCCGGTCCAGCATCCTGGTTCCGGTCCAGCATCCTGGTTTCGGTCCAGCATCCTGGTCCCGGTCCAGTTGCCTGGTCCCGGTCCAGCATCCTGGTTCCGGTCCAGCATCCTGGTTCCGGTCCAGCAGTCTGGTCCCGGTCCAGTAGCCTTGTCCCGGTCCAGCATCCTGGTCCCGGTCCAGTAGCCTTGTCCCGGTCCAGCATCCTGGTCCCGGTCCAGTAGCCTGGTCCCGGTCCAGCATCCTGGTTCCGGTCCAGCATCCTGGTCCCGGTCCAGCATCCTGGTCCCGGTCCAGCATCCTGGTCTCAGTCCAGCGGTCTGGTCCCGGTCCAGCATCCTGGTTCCGGTCCAGCATCCTGGTCCCGGTCCAGTTGCCTGGTCCCGGTCCAGCATCCTGGTTCCGGTCCAGCAGTCTGGTCCCGGTCCAGTAGCCTTGTCCCGGTCCAGCATCCTGGTCCCGGTCCAGTAGCCTGGTCCCGGTCCAGCATCCTGGTTCCGGTCCAGCATCCTGGTCCCGGTCCAGCATCCTGGTTCCGGTCCAGCATCCTGGTCCCGGTCCAGCATCCTGGTCCCGGTCCAGCATCCTGGTCTCAGTCCAGCGGTCTGGTTCCGGTCCAGCATCCTGGTTCCGGTCCAGCATCCTGGTCCCGGTCCAGCATCCTGGTTCCGGTCCAGCATCCTGGTCCCGGTCCAGTTGCCTGGTCCCGGTCCAGCATCCTGGTTCCGGTCCAGCAGTCTGGTCCCGGTCCAGTAGCCTTGTCCCGGTCCAGCATCCTGGTCCCGGTCCAGTAGCCTGGTCCCGGTCCAGCATCCTGGTTCCGGTCCAGCATCCTGGTCCCGGTCCAGCATCCTGGTTCCGGTCCAGCATCCTGGTCCCGGTCCAGCATCCTGGTCCCGGTCCAGCATCCTGGTCTCAGTCCAGCGGTCTGGTTCCGGTCCAGCATCCTGGTTCCGGTCCAGCATCCTGGTCCCGGTCCAGCATCCTGGTTCCGGTCCAGCATCCTGGTCCCGGTCCAGCATCCTGGTCCCGGTCCAGCATCCTGGTCTCAGTCCAGCGGTCTGGTTCCGGTCCAGCATCCTGGTTCCGGTCCAGCATCCTGGTCCCGGTCCAGCATCCTGGTTCCGGTCCAGCATCCTGGTCCCGGTCCAGTTGCCTGGTCCCGGTCCAGCATCCTGGTTCCGGTCCAGCAGTCTGGTCCCGGTCCAGTAGCCTTGTCCCGGTCCAGCATCCTGGTCCCGGTCCAGTAGCCTGGTCCCGGTCCAGCATCCTGGTTCCGGTCCAGCATCCTGGTCCCGGTCCAGCATCCTGGTTCCGGTCCAGCATCCTGGTCCCGGTCCAGCATCCTGGTCCCGGTCCAGCATCCTGGTCTCAGTCCAGCGGTCTGGTTCCGGTCCAGCATCCTGGTTCCGGTCCAGCATCCTGGTCCCGGTCCAGCATCCTGGTTCCGGTCCAGCATCCTGGTCCCGGTCCAGCATCCTGGTCCCGGTCCAGCATCCTGGTCTCAGTCCAGCGGTCTGGTCCCGGTCCAGCATCCTGGTCCTGGTCCAGTAGCCTGGTCCCGGTCCAGCATCCCGGTTCCTGCAGGACCGTATGTTGGACCATGGCACCAAACTCCGATTCCTTCAGATGGGACGACCTCCCATGTCAGCCAGGAAGCCTGCCGGTTGATGATCATTAGGAGCCCCTCCCCTGCCTGTTGCTGATCATTCAAAGGAAGCATGCAGTGCTGCCCCTCCCCTTCCTGTTGCTGATCATTCAAAGGAAGCATGCAGTGCTGCCCCTCCCCTTCCTGTTGCTACTCATTCAAAGGAAGCATGCAGTGCTGCCCCTCCCCTTCCTGTTGCTACTCATTCAAAGGAAGCATGCAGTGCTGCCCCTCCCCTTCCTGTTGCTGATCATTCAAAGGAAGCATGCAGTGCTGCCCCTCCCCTTCCTGTTGCTGATCATTCAAAGGAAGCATGCAGTGCTGCCCCTCCCCTTCCTGTTGCTGATCATTCAAAGGAAGCATGCAGTGCTGCCCCTCCCCTTCCTGTTGCTACTCATTCAAAGGAAGCATGCAGTGCTGCCCCTCCCCTGCCTGTTGCTGATCATTCAAAGGAAGCATGCAGTGCTGCCCCTCCCCTGCCTGTTGTTACTCATTCAAAGGAAGCATGCAGTGCTGCCCCTCCCCTGCCTGTTGTTACTCATTCAAAGGAAGCATGCAGTGCTGCCCCTCCCTTGCCTGTTGCTGATCATTCAAAGGAAGCATGCAGTGCTGCCCCTCCCTTGCCTGTTGCTGATCATTCAAAGGAAGCATGCAGTGCTGCCCCTCCCTTGCCTGTGGCTGATCATTCAAAGGAAGCATGCAGTGCTGCCCCTCCCCTTCCTGTTGCTACTCATTATAAGGAAGCCCCAATCTGGGGAGATGTAGTTGTGGATCATCTTTGGTGATGATGTCACAGATAAAGATGTCAGCTTGGACACGGCGCCATGCGGTACTGACCCGTTTGTCTGCGTCAGGGCGTTCCTCATAGTCTTGATCTGCTGAAAGTGGCAGGACATGTCGGTGGACATCACCATCTCGATCACCAGAGCCCTCAGCTCCCTGCAGAACATCAGACACAGAATCCTTAAAGACATCGCGTCTCTGAGGAGCCCAACTCAGCGGTTCTGACAGTCGCTCTACGAACGCTCCGTGGTCTCAAACAGCGACTGTGGAAGTGAGCTCCTCTACTGGGATCTTCTCTGATCTTTATGAGTCAAAGAAGGTGATAAACAGGAACCAGACGGCCAGAACATCATCAGAACCAGCTGGGTCGTCTAGTTAGAACCCAGATCCAGCCCTGAATGGAAGCAGCATGTTTGATGGTGAGGATGAAGGCGATGAGCACCAACCTCCAGTCCTCCTTGTTCAGGTTGATCAGGATGTTCATGTCCTCCTCGGCCATCAGTTTGTAGGCGGCGCTGACGTGGTGGTTCTCCAGCACCGACCTGTCGTTGTAGAGAATGGCCACCTCCGACCTGAGGATGGAAGAAAGCTTTGACTTCCTCCTGTTAAGGCTGATGTTTTATGAACTTCTGGTCTCCTCCGTTTTCAGCCAGAGGTCTTTACCACCTATGGAGCTACGTCTGTGGGCCAGCAGGGGGCGCTCTGTTACCTGGTGTGGATGTGGAAGTTGTTGGTGGTTCCAGTGTGTTCAAAGTCATGGATGGCTGCAGCAAAAACCATGGCCAGGATCTCCAGCTCGCTGAGCCAGTGCTGCACACAGAGTCATGGCAGAGCGTTAATATCAACGGTGGGTCAGCTGGTTCTCCTAACCTTATGAGGACCGCTGCTGTGTGTTACCATGAGTCCGGTGTGCAGCATCAGGAAGTGGGCGGTCTGGGTGACATCAGCGGCGTGGATCAGGTTGTGGTAAGGGTTCCTGTGTTTGCTGTAGCCGTTCTCCAGAGCTTCAACAAACTGCACCAGAGCCTGCACAGGGATCTGAGCACAGAACTCGGGCTAGAACCGGTACCATCAAACGGGCCGCAGACCTCTGGCTCTGCACCTATAGATCTACTGCAGAATCTAGACCTTTGGATCAGCAAACAGGTTTGATTTATGTTTTTAACAGGAAGAGCAAAGATAACAGAATCAGACTGCGTGTACCCTGAACCTGTTGATGAGGTCATAGCGGGTCAGCAGGTCGTAGACCAGGAACTTGAGGGCGTGTTCTCCAGTGGCCTCATGGAAGGCAAAAACATCAAAGGACCACTGATCCACCTCCTGGAAATAAGATCAGAGATGAAATCATCAAAAAAATCTGAAATCATCATTCTGTAATGACTCCTTTTGGCACCAGGGGGCAGTAATTGAATTATATTTCTTCATCTGATGAGCAAAAGCAATGAATAAATGTCATTAACTCTCCATTATCTTTGCAGTCGGTCGCTTCGTGACTTCAGGTCTCCAGAATAACAAAGCTCAGTAATTAAAGAACTTAATTGAATTTTTGAAGTTTGCACAGGAAGCCCTGAAGAAGGAACATTAATTAGGAGACGAACTTCTACGTCTGCATCACCTGCTCCTCTCATCACTGCAGCTTTTACATTAATTCCTCCTGTTCTATTTCTACGTTTAGACCCTGCTGATGCTCAGACATGGAAATCTTTATTTATATATAATATAATAATCCCAGAGGGAAATTCCCTCTCTGTATTTAACCCCTCCCCTTCGGGAGCAATGGGCTGCCATTGTGCGGCGCCTGGGGAGCAGTGTGGGGTTAAGGGTCTTGCTCAGGGACCCAGAGTGACAGTCTGTGGGAGTGGGGGATCAAACTCACAACCTCAGGATTCAAAGCCCTAACCAGTAGACCGCCGCTCCACCAAGTTAGAACTTTTCTTCAGTTCTTTTTCTGATTTTCCGTCAGTCTTTAGACATCGTCCTCCAGCTGTGTCAGGCAGAGGTTCCCACCTCAATCTAATATCTTCATCAGACAGTCAGCCGGTGCTCCATGACTATGAAGAGGAAGAAAACTGTTTCTGCTGTAAATTCCAACATCGTTTCCACAGCAAACCCTCCGGTTCCAACTTCCAGCCTCCTGGTTCCTGGTTCTGTCTTCCTGGTTCCAGCCTCCTTCTTCCTGGTTCCAACTTCCAGCCTCCTGGTTCCTGTTTCCAGCCTCCTGGTTCCAGCCTCCTGGTTCCTGTTTCCAGCCTCCTGGTTCCAGCCTCCTGGTTCCTGGTTCCTTTTTCCTGGTTCCAGCCTCCTGGTTCCTGGTATTCGGTTCTCCACAGGTTAATGAGCCCAACCCAGCGCCTCTCTCTGGTTTTCCCTGCAGCTGTTCTGGGAACCTTTGGCAGCTTTGCTCACTTAGAAATGTTTGGTTCTTTTTGTGTAAATGTTTAAACAGACTTGATGAGGAACGCCTGTTTACAGTAAATCTAAAACAGACTGACAGCTGATCCTATGTCTGAACTTTGACTAGGCCATTCTAATTAATGGATACGCCTTGATCCCCATAATGCTGCCACCACCGTGTTTCACAGTGGGGGTGTTGTTTTCGAGGTGGATTCATTATTTTCATTATTTGCATCCCTATCTTGATTTCTGTGGACAGTTAGTTCCAGCTGAGCTGAGGACCTCTGCTGCTCCTCCAGAGACTCCCTGCAGCTCCTGGCAGCTCCTCTAACCCACAGATGATGGATGGAGGCGTCGGTCACTGCTGATCTTCTCTGAAACCAAATCTAACTTTAACTGAAACTTTTTCCCCTTTCTCCACCTGAACACATGATCAGTTCAATAAAATGCTCTGTTCTGTGTGTGGGTGGGGGTGGGGGGGGGGGGTACCTTCAGAGCGGTGAGAGCTGTGGGGGGGTAGGTGAGACCCGCCATGTTGGAGGTCCGTCTGTACATCCTGTCATCAAACACAGAGAGAGAAGAGTATCACACAGCGGCCGTACGGATGCATAGAAGCGCCTCTCAGACCCCCCCTGATGCCTCCTCCACACTTTCAGACCAGCATGGATTGTTTGTTGCCATGGAGACCCTGTTCCAAACACACACACAGTGCTGCCTGGTTGCTGCAGATATTTTCTGCGTCATTAAGCTGCAGCGATGAACTGATACGGAGTTCTTTCACTCATTTGCATCTAATGATAGTGAAGTTTCCCTGCCTGCCTGTAGCGCACGCTAACGGCGTTAGCTTCGTGTTCCACCTCTTTATCACATCTGCTGTCAGCCGGATGCTGGCCTGTGTTTATTTGGAAGAAAATCTATGGCTCTTCTCTCTGACCAACAGGAAGGAACGAGCCGAACATTTCCTAGTGGAAGGGAAACTGGAAGGATCCTTATTGTAGAAAGAACGTTTACATCAGACCAGTCGTTTCTATAAATGCATGTATTTTGCATAAAGGGAGTTGTTGTTTTTCTGAAGAGGACCAACTCTCTCCGGCTGCTCTGTGGAGCATAAAGAGCCTCTCATGGTGATTTCAGAGCCACTCAAAGCTTTCATTTGCCCTGATCCTTCCCACAGTAACAGCCTCAGAGCATTTCATCAGATGTGTTGCACCATCACAGAGCTAGAAGCTTTTTCAAGTTGAAATCCTGAAAAGTGAGGCTTGCTTTGTAGGCAGCTAATTGACTCAGACACTTCAGAATAAAACCAGCTTCACAACATAAACAGACATGCAGGAAAATGCTTCCTTCAGATGAAACCAGCAGGTCCATTTCTGACCCAGAGGCAGATCACCTAGAATCCATCCATGAAACATGGTCACAGCAGCATTATGCTGTGGGAGACTTTCTTAGGGTCTGACAGGAAGTCTGAACATCTCTATTCACTGAAGCTCTACGTTGGGGGTTGAATACTAGCCACACATTTTCCCTCCATTTTAACAAAGACAATCCACTTTCCTGATCAGACAGACTGAGCTTTTTAGCTCTAATGGACAAGAGATGAATAAGCTTCAGGGGTGTGAATACTTATGCTAGCATAAGTATAGGGTTAGGGTTACCCTATATTTATGCTAGCATAAACTCTTACAATGAAACACATTCAACTAATTTGACTTCATTTGATTTCTGCCGTCCTTTTCAAGATCCATTTTTTTTTAACTCAAATATTCTTCATTCTGCTATTTTTAGCGTTTCTCAGTTTCCTTCTCGGTGAGGCGTGCATGAATTAATGGGGGGGGGGGGGGATTAATGCAACAAGTTTCAAAGACTAAAAAGATAAATATCATGATATTTTCATTGCGGTTTTGGAAGCTTTTCCATGTGTGACTGATTATCAGTCAGAGAAACGCTCCCTCTGCCTGCAGGCGTCGGCAGCAGAGCTGCGTCTGACTCCCTGTCAGTGCTTCAGGGGAGGGAGGGGCTCACTCCTCACTGAAGAACATCGTTAAACTCCGAACAATCATGGCTTCCATGCGTCGCCACCAAAGTCTCCAACACGACAGGAAAAGGTTGCCATGTTGGTTGCTGGTGTCTTTCTGAGGTGACTGGTCATCCGTTCACACGCGGAGCTCAGCGCCAGATTTAACATTTAGATTTTCTTATGATTTTAGATGACATTTAAAAAAACTATTCCACACTCGCCCCCTCAGGGTTTGTGTGTGTAAAACAAGGTGAAGGTTTTTATAAAATAACTGCTTCATGTTTACTTGAATCAAAGGGAAAAATATCCCAGTTGAGGCGTTTAAGCGACGCACAGCAGATTATCTGCTGCTTTTATTAATCCCAACTTCCTCAAACGTTTGTTTATTTTATTCATTATGTTTTTGCATAAACAGACCGACAATATATGGATATATCTATATATGTATATTAAGTCTTATAATTATGGACTTCATGTAGTTTGATGAGTTTTTCCAAGGATCATTTAAAAAGTTATTTAAATTTATCAGGTGATAATCAGCTTTAATAATATTGAAAAATAATTAAATAAAAACACAGCTGTGGCCTAAATAAGCTGTTATTGTGATGCATAGTTTTCTGCAGGCCGTCGTTGAACAGACTTTGCCAGCAGAACTGGTCCCAGTGTTGGTTGATGACGTCCTCATTGTCAACTTGGTTAAGAACCAACTTGTGAAAAGAAAAGTCCCATTTTAGCATCTTTGTTTGAAGCTTAAAGCTCGGAGCGAGCTGCCTGGTCGCACTGTGAGGAGCAGCAGCGCCTCAAGGAGCTGAAGGAGGAATTTAGAGCGTTTCTACAGATTACAGCTCAGATTGCTGTGCAGAAATGACAGATATATTTCATAATCTGAACGAACACATGAATGAAAGGCAGAAAGGAAAACCTGCTTATGAGAATCAGCCTGAAGGTGCAACTCTGGCAGCAACATGTGGAACACGGCAACCTTGAGATGTTTCGTCCCACAGAGAAAGACGTCCACACTGTGGCGCTGTGGGAGCTAACTTCTCTAGAAGAGACATTTGTTGCTCTTCATCCTTGGCTGAATGCTACAGGGAGACATGTAGCTTAGCATCGGTTGTTGGAAAGGAGGCGACTACAGGAGCAGAAAGAACGACTTAAAGCTGAGCTTCTTCATTGCAGCCGGCAAAGCTGTTTCAATGCTGCTCCCATTTTCACAACATATTGATGTGAGCCGAGCTTTTCAGGCCTGACTGCAGTTAAACCTAAACCCTGAGCGCTGCTGAGGAAGAGCTTCCTGTTTGTCTACCAGGAGATCAGCTCTGTTCATCCAAACAGTTTCCCACTGAGGCGAGAATCGCTGCATAAACTGCATCACTGCAGAGAAACACTGCAGTAGATCAGCAAACGCAGACCTGAGGAACCACGACCTCACCAACAGCTGGTTTTACTGAACAGGTTAGGATGTGTTTGTGTTCTCCTGTTTTAGAATAAGAGTGAGGACCGGTTCCAGAGTTTGGAGTGAGGATAACGGTTAGCTTAGGGCTAATATTACAACCTAGAAATGACTGAAAATCAATAGAAGTCAAACACATGGTCCTCACAACATATACAATGTGTGTGTGTGTGTGTGTGTGTGTGTGTGTGTGTGTGTGTGTGTGTGTGTGTGTGTACCTGTCTAGCCCTCAGAGTGAGGACCATTTTTCCAGCTTCACCATCAACCAGTTGCTGCAAAGTGAACAGGACATTTTGCTGATCCTCACAAGCTATTTTGCTAATAGTTCTGTTTAGGGCAAAGGTGTCATTGGTTGGGTTTAGTGTTGGGGGGTGGGGGGGGGGGTGTTGGGGTTCACCTCCATGTTCAGATTCACAAGAACAAAACTAAAATATTTGGACCAAAGACAAAGAAATCTTCCAGGAAATAAAGAGCAACTCTATTCAGATCTGCATTGAAACGGTGAATAATTAGCAGCGTTGAAATGTGGCATTAATGGAAGGATGATCATATTATGAGCAACATGAACATAATGAGTGTTTAAATGCTTCTTTAATGATTTCAGAGGGAAAAGCAGATTTGATTCAGAAATGATCTGAAATGTTTGCTTCTGATTATCAGGATCCCAGAAATGTTTCCCAGTAAAAACCTGCAGTTTCTCAGCAGGGGGGCGTGTTTACCTTTCCACAAAGATCCCAGCTTGCACCGCATGAACGATGCTCCTGAATCTCGGCTTCTCCTCGGGGCGGCGTTTGGCCACGCCCATCCTCCTGCTGAAGGTGCACGCCAGCCAATCACGCACCTCGCTGGGCACAGACTCCGCCTGCAGGTCGCTGAGCTCATCCTCCGTGTCCAACAGGCGCCTGCAGAGAAGAAGGGCTCCATGACGCATGCGTCCTGGACCATCACCTGTCGCTGCGCTGCGCTCCGCCTCACCTGGTCTCATCCGTGTAAACTGCGTCCAGCATGGCGGCGGCCAGCTCCAGGTTCCTGCGGAGGTCCTGCAGGTCCACCACACCGCGGTCCATCTGCTCCAGCGCGGCCTTCAGCCTGGATCAGAGGGATGAATGAAATAATTTAATATTCCTCCTAATCTCCAGGAAAAGCAACTCAGGAGTTCAAAGCAAATGATAAAGTTAATGAGGTCTGATTTATAAACATCTGTTGTTTACTGCCTGCTTTAACTGGACAGAAGCTTTTATTAATGGATGCAATAAAAAAAATGAAATAAAAACATGTAGATTCAAAGGAAAATGGTGACTGTTTTAATGTTTGACAAAATAAAACCAATTATTGTGATTCCATTAATTAACACCCAGTCACTAAATGAACAGGCTGTACCTGTTGACTTTATTATTTATTAACTGCAGCTGCAACTCAGAGCCTCTAAAGTTAAAACAGGCATCAGTTAAAGCATAAAGCTCAGGAATAAAGCATTAAAATTCAAGATCTGACAGTGGAATCAAGTTTAATCCAGTGGAAGTCAAACACCAAAAATCCAATAAAAGCAGCGATTCATCGACTGAAACTGAACGGTCCTAAAACCAGCTGGGTCCAAAAATGACTAGAAGGCCAAGTTTAAATTCATAAAACTCTGGAAAGCTTGACTCAAAGAAAAGGGAAGCAGCTGAGAAAGAAAGGAGGAACATAAACTGAGTGATGGTCTAGTGGTTAGCTTAACTATTCCCTCAGAAACACCTGCAGAAGGTCGGGAATCAATCAGTAAAATGTTTCCCAGTCTTGGAAGATCAACCTCTGGATGTGTAACTGGGGAACGGAGCTTTGATCTGGTGTTTTATTTCTCCATTAAAAACCATCAATAATAGACCAGATCCTTCTGAACTCATATCTTCTGAGTTTCTTTATTTAGCCGTCCGTTCACTCATGCTGCGATTTTCACTAAAAATAAGTCTGTTTTTGATGCCTTCCCACATTCAGACTCTCTGATCTGTTTTTGGAGACAGTTGATCAATTTTCTGAGGTCCATGAAATTTATGCTGGAAAATATGTGAGGGAACAAAAGAACAAGACTTTCTTTGTCTGGTTTTAATCTGTAATCTCCCATTGGAGCCAATGAGGCGCAGCTGGAATAAAGCAGCATCTGTGTTTCTATCAGCGATATAAACATATAAAACCTCTCCAGACTTTAAAGGCTGTTTAAAAATAATTCCGTTTTCTTCTAAACTCATTCTAAATGTCAGAAATGTTTGTTCTAGATGTGTAAAAAGCCTCCCTTCCTTTCCAGGTTGCTCTGTGGCTCAAATCCCTGAAGATCTGGTTATTGCAGATGACCAAGAAGAAGAGAACAGAAAAAGGAACATCAAAGCTTTTCACGTCACCATGACAACCACAAAAACAGCCTCTACAATCCAGAACTTTCCTGATGATTTCCTGAAGTTTCATACTGATGGGAAGCTTTTTATTTTTTTAAGTTTATCAGCTTTATTATTATTTCATAAAAGCTCAGATTATTAAAAAGGTTTGAGGATCCTTATTATAACTATTTCCATGTTTAACTGAAGTATTCAGACTTTAATGGAAATAAACATAAGAAATATCAAAAAATATTGTAAAAACATGAATCTACTGCTTTGTTGTTTTAATACTTCATTATTGTGAATCTATATTAAACTATCTGCATCCGTCCATCTGTGTCCTGCAGCTGACAGGAGACTCCAGACGCCTACACAGCTGCTGTCCCGTTCACACCACCCTGAAGATCTGCTCCATCCAGACGATGCTCATGGCACCATGGCAGCCGTCAATCAGCCGCCGCTAAACGCGCCTCAGGGAAAAACCAGCTGCCAAAGCAGCTTTATGCTCTTTGCTTTTCCCTGACGGGTCAGAGAGGTTGCTAGATCCGCCCACGATGCAACAGTCAGTCCGGTTTGACTAGACGATAAAGATTTTTATAATTATATCAGCAGATATCAGAGATGATCGTTACTCCGCAGTCAGTCACAGAGGTCCAATCAGAAATATCTGCTCGGTCCAATCAGCAATATCTGCTCGGTCCAATCAGCAATATCTGCTCGGTCCAATCAGCAATATCTGCTCGGTCCAATCAGCAATATCTGCTCGGTCCAATCAGCAATATCTGCTCGGTCCAATCAGCAATATCTGCTCGGTCCAATCAGCAATATCTGCTCGGTCCAATCAGCAATATCTGCTCGGTCCAATCAGCAATATCTGCTCGGTCCAATCAGCAATATCTGCTCGGTCCAAACAGCAATATCTGCTCGGTCCAATCAGCAATATCTGCTCGGTCCAATCAGCAATATCTGCTCGGTCCAATCAGCAATATCTGCTCGGTCCAATCAGCAATATCTGCTCGGTCCAATCAGCAATATCTGCTCGGTCCAATCAGCAATATCTGCTCGGTCCAATCAGCAATATCTGCTCGGTCCAATCAGCAATATCTGCTCGGTCCAAACAGCAATATCTGCTCGGTCCAATCAGCAATATCTGCTCGGTCCAATCAGCAATATCTGCTCGGTCCAAACAGCAATATCTGCTCGGTCCAATCAGCAATATCTGCTCGGTCCAATCAGCAATATCTGCTCGGTCCAATCAGCAATATCTGCTCGGTCCAATCAGCAATATCTGCTCGGTCCAATCAGCAATATCTGCTCGGTCCAATCAGCAATATCTGCTCGGTCCAATCAGAAATATCTGCTCGGTCCAATCAGAAATATCTGCTCGGTCCAAACAGCAATATCTGCTCGGTCCAATCAGCAATATCTGCTCGGTCCAATCAGCAATATCTGCTCGGTCCAATCAGAAATATCTGCTCGGTCCAATCAGCAATATCTGCTCGGTCCAATCAGCAATATCTGCTCGGTCCAATCAGCAATATCTGCTCGGTCCAAACAGCAATATCTGCTCGGTCCAATCAGCAATATCTGCTCGGTCCAATCAGCAATATCTGCTCGGTCCAATCAGCAATATCTGCTCGGTCCAATCAGAAATATCTGCTCGGTCCAAACAGCAATATCTGCTCGGTCCAATCAGCAATATCTGCTCGGTCCAATCAGAAATATCTGCTCGGTCCAATCAGCAATATCTGCTCGGTCCAATCAGCAATATCTGCTCGGTCCAATCAGCAATATCTGCTCGGTCCAAACAGCAATATCTGCTCGGTCCAATCAGCAATATCTGCTCGGTCCAATCAGAAATATCTGCTCGGTCCAAACAGCAATATCTGCTCGGTCCAATCAGCAATATCTGCTCGGTCCAATCAGCAATATCTGCTCGGTCCAATCAGCAATATCTGCTCGGTCCAATCAGCAATATCTGCTCGGTCCAATCAGCAATATCTGCTCGGTCCCAATCAGCAATATCTGCTCGGTCCAATCAGCAATATCTGCTCGGTCCAATCAGCAATATCTGCTCGGTCCAATCAGCAATATCTGCTCGGTCCAATCAGCAATATCTGCTCGGTCCAATCAGCAATATCTGCTCGGTCCAATCAGCAATATCTGCTCGGTCCAATCAGCAATATCTGCTCGGTCCAATCAGCAATATCTGCTCGGTCCCAATCAGCAATATCTGCTCGGTCCAATCAGCAATATCTGCTCGGTCCAATCAGCAATATCTGCTCGGTCCAATCAGCAATATCTGCTCGGTCCAATCAGCAATATCTGCTCGGTCCAATCAGCAATATCTGCTCGGTCCAATCAGCAATATCTGCTCGGTCCAATCAGCAATATCTGCTCGGTCCAATCAGCAATATCTGCTCGGTCCAATCAGCAATATCTGCTCGGTCCAATCAGCAATATCTGCTCGGTCCAATCAGCAATATCTGCTCGGTCCAATCAGCAATATCTGCTCGGTCCAATCAGCAATATCTGCTCGGTCCAATCAGCAATATCTGCTCGGTCCAATCAGCAATATCTGCTCGGTCCAATCAGCAATATCTGCTCGGTCCAATCAGCAATATCTGCTCGGTCCAATCAGCAATATCTGCTCGGTCCAATCAGCAATATCTGCTCGGTCCAATCAGAAATATCTGCTCGGTCCAAACAGCAATATCTGCTCGGTCCAAACAGCAATATCTGCTCGGTCCAATCAGCAATATCTGCTCGGTCCAATCAGCAATATCTGCTCGGCTCCAATCAGCAATATCTGCTCGGTCCAATCAGCAATATCTGCTCGGTCCAATCAGCAATATCTGCTCGGTCCAATCAGCAATATCTGCTCGGTCCAATCAGCAATATCTGCTCGGTCCAATCAGAAATATCTGCTCGGTCCAATCAGAAATATCTGCTCGGTCCAAACAGCAATATCTGCTCGGTCCAATCAGCAATATCTGCTCGGTCCAATCAGAAATATCTGCTCGGTCCAATCAGCAATATCTGCTCGGTCCAATCAGCAATATCTGCTCGGTCCAACAGCAATATCTGCTCGGTCCAATCAGCAATATCTGCTCGGTCCAATCAGCAATATCTGCTCGGTCCAATCAGAAATATCTGCTCGGTCCAATCAGCAATATCTGCTCGGTCCAATCAGCAATATCTGCTCGGTCCAATCAGCAATATCTGCTCGGTCCAATCAGCAATATCTGCTCGGTCCAATCAGCAATATCTGCTCGGTCCAAACAGCAATATCTGCTCGGTCCAATCAGCAATATCTGCTCGGTCCAATCAGCAATATCTGCTCGGTCCAATCAGCAATATCTGCTCGGTCCAATCAGAATATCTGCTCGGTCCAATCAGAAATATCTGCTCGGTCCAAACAGCAATATCTGCTCGGTCCAATCAGCAATATCTGCTCGGTCCAATCAGAAATATCTGCTCGGTCCAATCAGCAATATCTGCTCGGTCCAAACAGCAATATCTGCTCGGTCCAAGCAATATCTGCTCGGTCCAATCAGAAATATCTGCTCGGTCCAATCAGCAATATCTGCTCGGTCCAATCAGCAATATCTGCTCGGTCCAATCAGCAATATCTGCTCGGTCCAATCAGCAATATCTGCTCGGTCCAATCAGCAATATCTGCTCGGTCCAATCAGAAATATCTGCTCGGTCCAAACAGCAATATCTGCTCGGTCCAATCAGCAATATCTGCTCGGTCCAAACAG